AGCTAGTCTGTGACGTGGAAGGTAATGCCTTCATGTTTTCATTCACTGTGAAGCCAAAGCCTCTCTCCTGTCCTGTGTCTTGGCACACTGGATGCAGATTGCTGTAGTCATAGTAGTTACCTCTTCTGTGCATTTCTGCTAGCTATGAAAATCAAGGATACCTTAGATGAGCTGCCTCCTGTTTGAGGGCCAGCTGGTAGGAGGCAGTCCTGAGATCCCTGTGCATTTTCTGTAATGCTGGAAGGTACTGAATTTAGAGAATGAAAATGATGGACATAAAGTTAACTGGATAGCGTTAATGAGATATTTCCCATGTGTTTCTTCGCTCTTCCTCCTGGCAGGAGTACCAGTACTTGTTGGGGGTATCATACCACCAGGAGGACCCAAAACTGAATTACCAGGAGGATTTGTGAAGAAATTCTGCCAGTCATTGGAGTGTTATGAAGTCATCTAAGTAACTTGCCCAGTTAAGTACTGCACTTAACTTGGGAGAAATTGAGGTAAACAGTCATCTCTCTCCATTTCTCCTTTTCTGCTATACATCCACAGCGAACTAGTCTGATGTTGATTAGTCAAATATGAATTTACTATGAGAGCCGTGGAGTTGTTTACATACACACAATGTTCTTGAAATAGTAACTAGAAATGAAGGTAGAGAGCTCCCAAATTGTGATGATGACCAGTAAGTCGATTGACTCTCCTCCTGAAGGAACCAGCAAGTAATTCAACTACAAAGTGATCCTGTGTTCCACCACTGTGAGACATTGTGGACAGCAATGTCAGTACAGGAAATATGGGAAAAATGTGTGGAAATTGGGTCTGGACATGGGGCATTTGCATGCTTGATGTGCTTTTTTTGTCTTTTTTAGTGCAAGTGAGCATTTCAAAGGAAAATGCAGTCATTCTCAGATCATTTTCCTTAGTAGCTAATAGGTAGTAGCTAATTTGGAGCCACTGACTATATAGATATAAAGGAGATTATTCCTAATCCATTACTTTGCAGTCACCCATTTAATTTTCCCATCCCATTTGGGATTCACAGTCACTCAGTATCACAAGATTCTTTGTAGTCAGCTTTCAGTTTGACTGTCTTGAACCATGGAGGCAAAATTTGTCACCTTGCTGTTCACACTTTCATTCACATTTTCGACATAGTTGGGTCATTCTACAGGTGCCCCCTTGCCTCTAAAGAAGGTGACTGTTTTAACATTTTGGCAGTTTCAAAGAATACAAAGAAAATTAGAACTGCCATATGTTTACATCCTGGGCAGGAAGGCAGTGCTGATGAGTAATTCACTGTAAGGGAACATGTGGCTTGCTTGATTACAGGATTTTCTCTAGCACTTTTAAAATCTGCAGTGAATGTTACTTAGTGTTTGGAGTTGGGCTTCGACAAAGCACATCTGTAGAGCTATTCAGTGCTCCAACACACCATCCAATTTACTGGAGAAGCACCATCTTTGTATGGAAGTAGAAGAAATTATATGAAGAAAACAAATGCTATTTTAAGGCAAGTCGAGGAAAATCCTATTTCCTTTAACTCAGACCTTATTTCTGTTGGTATCAAATATACTGTTTATCACAAATTGTATTATTCTATATAATATTAAGCTTTGAAATACTATTCTTTCATTTAAAAAAAAAAAAAGAATAAAACACTTAAATCTGAGATTAAAGTTAGCTTTAATCTGAGGACCTAAAAGGATCGCTATTAAAATGATTTCTCAAGTTTGTCTAAGAATACTCTTCTCAGGGGTGTATTTGAAATAGAAATTGGTATAATATATTAAGAAATTGAGAGATTAGGCTATTTATTTAAAAAAAAAAAAAAAAAGGAAAGAAAAGGAAAGAACCTTCTAAAATATTCAGTCATACTTTCATGCTTTACTGAATCACTGGAGACTAAATATTCCCCAAATAAAAAATTAACAATCAGTGTTCTCTCAACAGTTCTAGAATGTACTCTTCCAGAAGAACTGGAGTTTGGAAGAGGGAGGATCAGAGAGACTGAATGTCTAACTTTGTTGAAATCAAACTTTAAAGTCAGGTATTTTAGAGGTTAATAACTATCAGAATTGGAAATTATTTTCCATCAAAAATCTTTTGCTGTTATGAGCTTTTATGTAACAGTGCATATATGACCAAATAAATTATCCACACTTTCTTGCTATTTACCTTTTCATTAATATGTTGTTGTGAATTTCAGTACATCCAGTACATGCAGGTGTATGACTCTCTCTTAAAAATATAGCTGAAAGCACCTCTCCATTACCTTAATCTTTATCATCCTTAAAAATTGCAGTGGGGAATCCTTATTTAATGTATAAAAATAACATCTAATAGCTGGAAAATGCTTTAAGTTCCTTTCAATTACAGGTTACAAGATAATCATCTTGTGGAAACATGCCTCAGCATTTCCATGTATTCACGGTTGACAAAATTAAATGTCTCCTTTAATTCTTTTGGCAGTTGTAGAAGAGTGATTGAAACCTTTTGTTATACAAACTTCAAGATTAAGCGATCACATCTGTTGAGTAGTTTTTGAAGGATATAGAATAGATTTGGGTAATTAGCTAGAAGCGATTTTTTTTTTTTTTCCCATTACCTTGTAGATAGAGTACTGTCTCCAAAGTTCATTATCAGACTTATGAGTTGCAAATTATGTCATCAAAGTTCAAGGCACTTGATTATAGCATACTTGTAACATTTTCAAATACTCCCAGTGCAGTTTCCTTGTTATCTAAAATTATCAACAGATAATGAATTTCGCATTTCACAGTAATGGAAAACTGTCAGGAACCGTTTGAGGCATTAGTGACTGTAGGCATAATATGCCCTTTAACTGTTTTCATCTGAAGGAGAAATATGTAGCTTTTGCCCTGAGCAGCTGCATCTTTTGAATGAATGTTGCAAACAATACCAGTTAATTTACTGATGCGCTGGTGTGGTTTATATGAATGGCTATAGATAACAGATTTATTTTGTTGCTTCTGCAGAAGCTATCTTTGAATTTATTCACAACAAAAAAGGTTTCAGTTTTGCTCTTCAGATCTTATTATGCTAGAATTATTTTTATGATTTGCTGTGATGCAAGCTGTCTTGTATCTGACAATGCACTGCAAACAAACGAGAAACAACTTCTGCATCTACTACAGAAAACTTTATGACAGATATTGCAGTCTGTACTTATCTGTGCATATAATTTTCTTACCTGTTCCATGAAATGCAAAATCTTTTCTTTTTATCTTGTCTTTTGGATGGAATGCTAGTAGTACTAAAGTAATTGTCACAGTCATGATTCATGGTGAGCTACAAGTCAACCAACAAATAAATATCATTGTATCTGGCTCCATATCAGACCATGTTCATTGTGTTTACTCTGTATTGTTTGTGTATTGAGCAAATAATCTTTAGATATTATGCCTTCCACAGGCAGTATTTATCTTTCCACGCCAAATAACTGCACATGCAAGAAATGCCTAGCTGCACTTTTCTAAGTGGACTCAGTTTGCTCCACATACATATTTCAAATACATTATTTGCACTGTAATGCACTGTAATGCTCAACACTAACAATTCTTAGGCTTTGTGTATGTGTAAATTATTGCTGTTTGAAGCTAGATACAGAATTTGATATCAATCAAATTGATCTTTCATTTTCTCAGTATTCATAACTGTAGTTCAACTTCAGAGCATCAGACAAGGAGCAGTGAGTCCAGAAAAATACTTGTTTCACTTTTCTGCCTTATTGTGACCAGGGTCTTCAGGTATTCTGAGATCACAGTCAGCACTCGATTCACTGCTGAGGGAACTTTCCCCTTGCTTTGAAACTCCCAGAGTCTTTGCCCTGAGATTAAAGAGTTGGGTTTTCTCAAGTCCTTACTCTGTATTTTCCTCAGCATGTCCAAAGCTGAAGTCCATGTACAGTTCTCAGAGCACCTGTTTCATAACACAAACCAGTTCTAGCAAAGAACAAGCATTTCCTGATTACATAGCTACTGTAAATTTTCAAGATATTTCCAGTCTCACCCTTTCCTCAGCTGCGTGCAAAGTGCAAAAATACTGTTTCAAGAAATGTCTCAAGCATCCCTCACTTGCTTCATAGGTGCTTGAACTTTTGTAGTTTTTTGTCACAAGGCTTAGACTCTTATAGGCTGAATTATTCGAGGTTCTTTAGTGTTAATCTGTAAAATTCTGTTCCATTGTTTTGGATGTCCCCTTCTTCATACGAGAAATAAATTAAACAGCATCACTAATAATAAACAGTGAGTAGTGAACCTAGAATGGGATACACAGAGGTAACCAGGAGGAAGATGTATGCTCATATGTTTAACTGAACATTGCCTGAATCAGAGCTTCTCCATGGGGATCTCTGTCCTCTTGAGATACAGACTATTAGGTACTTTCAGAAGAGATCACAAGACAGAAGATGGTCATGGTCTCCACAGCACTGTCACTTGACTTCTTTTCAGAGAAGGTGGAACCTGAATTCTGGACCCTCCTCAAATGTGTATATGTGTGTGTACGTGTGTGTGCATGGGCGAGCATGGCGGGGGGTGGCAGGGTGGCAGCTCCTAGTTTGTGGGAGAAGGTTCTGCTCACATTCCTCCTCCTGGGGATTGTGGATAGTCTCCATCGCTTTTGCTGAAGTTTGAAGGGACATGAAGGAACTTGTAAGAGATACTTTTTTTCAGTTGTGTTAGAAGGAGACTTATGGAGTGGCCACAAGGTTATACTGTTTACTAGAAAATGAAAACCATTCTTTCACACATCTGTGGGGTAAAGTAGGCCTGCAATCCAGAAGGAACCAATTTGCTCTTGAAGGTCAGTACATAATGTGAAGTTTCTTAAGTGCTAATAACAGGTCATTCTTTTTGTTCTTTTTTTCAGTGTCGGTAACATTATCTGTTAATGATGAACATTAAATGCTTATAAAACTATAAAGGGATCATTTCTAAACAGAGATTTGTGTGACTCCAAGACACTGATTAAAAACAAGGTATTTTATATCCTTTATTAGTAATGAAAATATTCCTCAAAGACATGACTCCACTTACAACTTGCTTAGCACCATCAAGAAGGAAATAAAGCTCCTCTCTTTCTTCTTACTTGTTGCATAGATTGACTATCTATGCACTAAGTAAGAAGTTAAAATTATGTTAACAGAAGTAGTAACATCCTCTTAAATACTGCTTTATGTTCTTGCAGAGTAGAAGAAATGAAATAGAAGACTTAAGAATACCCTTGAAAATAACTTTACAGAATAAAAGCATACAAAATTTGTAAAAAAGCTAGACAAATAATACTTTAGAAACCCTGACCTTGAATTATAAAATACAGTAGTGCTACACTCAAAGGATGTATTAGAATTAGAATAACTCATAAAGTGTACTCTGCATCTTGCACAGGTCAGTTTTTCTGTTTGCATTGCTGCATTAAGTTCAAGGCACAGTTTTCAGGTGTTTTGTAAAGAAAAAGATACAAAAATACACTACTAGTAAGGCAAATATTAAAAATAGAATTAAATCCAGTATATTCAAATATCCATTATCAGGCATCTTCTGGGCATAGACCAGAAATTAGTATAACATTGTCCACTCCAATTTCTCCAGTTTTGCCCTTCCCACGTTCTGATTCAAAAGTGACCTGTCATAAGAAATGAGATGAATTAACAGTGAAAATGTAGTTTATCCAAGCATTTAGCAGCTCTTAATGTTAATTAGTTATAATGCCATATCTGAGGAATGTTTTATCCCAATACAGGACTTAATGACTTAAATCCTTGCAGCTTTTAGACTTTCCATGTATTATTTGAACTAGAGTTATAATCCTCTGCACAGATTTACAATATCAAATGGATTCCTTTAATAAGGTCATTTATTTTTGTTGTACAAAGAACATGCAAATTGAGTGAAATCCTATTATAATAATGTAGTTTTATCCCAGTATGTGATGCTAGTGCATTTTATTTCTTGAAGACATTATGAATGTTCGTTTTCAATCTATCTGGGTCCTTAGGTTTTGAGACATACTTTATACGTATTTATACTCTCGCTGTATATAGTATGTGTATATATAATATGTGTACTATATAGAGAGAGTAGGTTCATTTTTATGAATAGATATGCCTGGGTTTTTATTTTATAGCCTGATTCTCGTTTATGTAAGGGCTTTTTTACATCATTCCAGCAGTGCAAAGAACTTTGAAAAGGGCTTACATTTCATTTATACTAACAGTATTCAACTATATAGTAGAAGTCTTTACACAGCATTGAAAATGTTCAGTCACATGAATGAAAAGCAGACTCTAGAATTTCAATGAGAAACTTGCTGAAGTCCTGACTGAGACAGTTTTCAGGCATAAATCAGTGCACAGTGTTCTCTGTTGGCTAGTATGTCCTGCTCCTAAGGTGAATGCCTACCCTTGATTGTACATGATGTCTCCTTTTGCTCTAATAGTTTGGTTTAGTGTGATTTGAGAGCATCCTCTTCTATGAAACAGAAATTTTTCATTTTTCCAGGCATGTATGTATGCTTCTGTTGCATGAGATATTAAGGAAAGATTCTGATTGCTTGTGTTAATTTATGATCTGATGCAGTTTTTTACAAAATGACAGGGTCACTGGCATCAGTGTCCTAACCAACTGGGGTAACTCAGTTCTGAAATTACAACCAGATAATAACTTTTCTGCCTCCTAAAATGTGTGCTCCTGTTTCCCATTTCAGATAAGCCTTTCAATTGCCAGTAAGCAATGCCTATAAAAGAGTTGATAGGACACTTGAGGATTAGAAAATGAAACTGTTGTGTTGCCTACAGTAGTTGGCTTATAAATTGTGTTATACTTACACTGTTGGTTGTTTCAGATCCCTGAAATATATCTATTTTTCCAGTTCTCCACTTTTCATCTTTTCCTTTGTTCTGCTCCCAGACAGGAGCAGTTTTTTTGTTTGTCAGGAACACTCGAAGTTTCCCCACTCGCTCTCCAGCAAGCCGGTAACTGAAAATCAAACAGTAGCTGCTCTTTGGTTTGAGGTCAGTGAGGAGAAGTTTTAGACGCCCCATATCCTTCTTGTGCCCCACAAAAGCTGGAACTGCCATGTAGTACCCGTCGCCTTGTAACAAAAAAACAAAAAAACAACAAAAAAAGAAAAATGCATCTTTAATGGGCTTGTGTTATTTATTAGCAAAGTGGATACATATTTGCTAAGAAAATAAATGGAAACTGTGTTGAATAATTTAAAATCAGACTGGAGAAAAGCAGCAGGGAGTGTACTATTCAAGGAATAAGCTTCACTGTTGGAAGTCAGATCAGTTTACAGAGGATGTGAGTTCATATTGCACTGGCAGTTATAATGATTCTTCCTTGCACTATCTTTCAAAGGCAAAACCATCTAGTTTTTCAAATGCAACAGCCTGTTGTTGGACCATTTCCAGTACTTGAGCTAGCTCAATACTCTCTCCACTGTCCTCTGCAGTGATGACAAACTCACAAAGGAACTGATAGTTTATTCCCCAAATCCTGGTGGACCAAAGAAATGACAGAGACACATAAAGAGATAAAGGGATAAAACATCTGGGCCCATAAATAATTTCATAATCAGCAGATGTATGTTTGGGGAGACAGGGTAAGGTCAGGGTAAGGTAAGGTCTTCCTGGAAGTCACAGCACAGAGAAGGGACTGGGAAAAAAGAAATATATGGAGCAGGAGAGGAAGGATCAGTGAAGAAAGACTGGGATGGAAGGACTGTGAGGGAAGAGAGAGAGAATGTGTGTGTAGGGACTGGATCCGCCAGTCCCTACTGCAGCAACTTCTGAAACATTTCCTGTGTCACAGGGGAAGAGACATCCTTTCAAACAAGTTTCTTCAGTCACACTTTTATATATACCCACACAGCAGTCACACATTGCACTCGTAGAGCTCTTTCTCAGGTTTTAACAGTTGGTACCAAGTCAGGTATTGGTTGTTCTTGAATAGCCACCTGTCCTTGGCTCATTCTGAGGAATGCCATCTCTAGTTTGTCTTGCAGAGTTTGAGATTTCTGAGAAGTTAATCACAGTGCTGTCTAAGCCATGTAAGTGACTACATTGCCACATCCATCTAAATAGCAGATGTATAGTTAAATGCCCTACCAGTCTTGGAGAGACACAATGCATAACTAATAAGGCTTCCGTTGCCTTGTGCCTTGCAGTTCTGAACGGTTATATTCTAATAATTTTTCTCATCTTTTGATTTGTTTGTGCTGAAATATTTTGCTGATTACCAGTTGCCACTGGATAATTCAAAGAAACAATTTCCACTCCCAGCATTCTCTGCCTCCTTTTTTCTTTTATAAAGATAACCCACTGATAGGAAAGCTAATTCTTGATTCTGTTTTCCCCTCCATCCCCCTTTTTTTGGAGGGTGTAAGCCATCAAATCAAAGCATAGCTAAAGGACAGATATTTAGATACCTCTATCTCGATCAGCAAGATTCCAGTCAAAGTCATCATCAGCATCTTGTTTCCAGTCACAGACCCCTCGACTGAAGCTGCAATCAACTGAAAAAGAAATGTGCAATGGAGATTTAGAGGTATGAGGAGCAATGTATCATAAGGACCAATAAAAAGAATTTGCTCTTTATTCACCCAATTACTAATGTATACATTAGTATATACATTGGTTTATACTGATGTATATACTAATGTATACTACAATCTGAGTTCAGATAGTGTTGACCTAGATTAAATTGTGAAAAAGCAAATCATTAGCATTTATGTAATAATTCTTACTTTAACTCACAGGAAAACCTGTTGTGTCTTTTTACTACCTATCATCTGCCATCTGCACATGAATTTCTATGCTGTGACTTCTGTATACTGAGTGCCTGTCTATTGCCAGGTATAGTTGGAGGTGTTAGTTTTGAACTCTAGCATCATAAATGGTTTGGGATCTGCCAACTTTAGAGCTTTCCTCTCTCCATTTGTTACACTGGTGTAGTTGTAGTGTAGTTGTGATATAGTTGTAGTCAGTCCAGTTCTATCCACTGAGAGAGAGAAGCTGGCCTCCTGTGAGAGGAATTCTTTATGTCAGCACTTAATACTCATACTACATGGAGCTGGAAACAGCCCAAATCAGTTGACCTTTAAAGTACGCTGAAAAAGGGTGTCACCCAGAGCACACGACAGCCTTTGTAACTGTGCAGATGAAAAGCATTACATACACAAAGAAACAAACACTGTGCAATCCAAGCATGACAGATCAGATTAAGAATAATATGTCAGCCATCTGAATTTCCTCAGAAAGAAGCATCCTTTTTGTTCTTTTAATGTACTTTATCATGAGACAGAGGAGTGCAGTACATGGTATTTAGAGAGCTCTACTGTATAAATCCATTGTTTCTAAGACTACTGCATTCTGAACTTGAAAAAATCCCAGTATCTTTACCTTTAAACAGCATTCAAAGCATCTGTGGATTATTCTGGGGTGAAACCCACCTCATCCTAAAAATAATCTCAGCTACAGCCAATCCCAGCATTTCAGCCCCTGCCCACTTGGCTGGTGACACCTCAGAAGGATGCTGCTGCCTTGTAAATGCATCAACTCAACACAATCTCTCAGTCCCCTCTTTTGGATTCTGATTTTTTCCATGGCTCTCATAAGCAGGCCGTTACAGTCAACTTAATGATTCTATCCATCACAGGGAAACTGTTTCCCACCTGGTGAGAGAGGAAGAGTGCATTCTGATCTACCTTTATACTCTGCTTTGACCAGAGCTACACTGCAGTCTGTTACAGTTCCCAACAGGCAGCAAAGTTTTCTGTTTGAAAGTGCATGAAGCAGCTTCCTTAAATTAAGTTCCTTAAGCAGCTTGTGTACATAAATTGACAGATCTTGGACCGTGTATGCTCCCCTGACTGATTTTGCAACAATTTTTAATGTGAGGAAGAACAGGTAATATAGGTTGTAATGAAAACACAAAATACACAGGAAAATAAATAATGTAAATAAAAATATTTACCTTCTTCCTCTGGCCTTGACACTGGAACTTTCCTCTGTGCCAGGAGAGGGCCAAAGGCAGCTGCTTCTTTCACTGTGGGAACTAAGGGAAACAACTTGTCAAGTGCTGTGTTATCACAGGAACAGATAATGGAACTTAATTCCTTCATACCAGTTGCAATCCTTTATTTAAATAACTCAATGTATGTGTTTTCCACTCCACCACCAAATTCACATTCCTAACCTCAGTTAGACACTAACTTTGAATTTTAAAACTTCCTTTAAAATGCTGTTTTCCACAGCACTGTGCCTTCTAAGCTGTGGGCACTGGAACTACAAGTTTCACAAGATCATAAAACATTAAACATGATCTTTCTTTGGCATGGTGAATCTGCTTTCTTGCTACAAAACTTCAACTAATGATCGAAGTACCTGAACTCTACCAGACAGCAAAGATAATGACTCAACAGCTTGGCAGCACTTCACCATCAGCAGCCTCAAAAAATGGGTAGTGTCAGAGACTGCAAAAACCATAAACATTGAGGGATCAAAGGTTCACAGCTCTGTATTCAGGTAAGTGATAGCTGGTGCTGCTGTAACAGAAGCTCCATGTAATTATTTTTCTGAAGCTGTACTCCCTTGCTGGGATACATGTTTTCCTGAAGACCTGATCAGCTCTGCTCTCTGTTGGGAAGGAAGGGTGCAGCAACTGCCCCTAGCTCTTCCTCCCTCCCTGCAACAGCTGGCAAGCCCAGCCTGATGTTTTGATAAGCAGTCCTGGTGGAACCCTGCGAACAATTTTTGTAAAAATTGGTTGATGTGTCTTGTGCCAAACTGGAAGAGTTGATACAGCAGCACAGATTATGAACGTTAGGTGTGTTCTCTAAGATACTGGCCTAAAGGATATAGTTACTCAAGAAGCACTATTTTTCAACAGCAGCCTCAGAGACCAAGGCAAAAGCTCCTATCTGATGAGCTACAAAGATACAGAAGCTTGCAAACACTTATTTACTCTAAGTAATACTCTAAAATACTCTTAAGTATTTTTAAAGTTCTGTGATTAAGCTTCTTTCGTACTATTTTAACTGCTTAACAGAGAAGTGCACTCGCTAAAAAAAAATAAATCATAGTCTCAACTTGTGCAAAGCCTGTGTAAGTAACTAATCACACATGAGATAAGTGATCTTCTTTCACTGGCAGAAGATTCTACCCTTTGCAAACACATATGCAGATGAAACCTATGATACATACCTATGAAAACAGGAGAGGCTTAAATGTGCCATTTTAGAAGAGGAGTGAGGGAGGATCCTTTGGATAACTACTTACAGAAGGTGTTAGTAGAAATCCTGACAGACTGAAGTTCACTTTTCAGACACACCATGTGGGCAGCAGTGCTAAGAAATGTTCAGACTTCCTCAACAGTGCCAGATGATAGGAGCTACAGAAATGGAAATTACTTTTCCCTACTCAGCATTGTATCTCATACATGCTATTACGAAGCTGAAAATGCCAAGTATTTAAAAAGTCACTACTTTCACATGCAAACACATTTGTTCAGAGGGGAGTTTGTTCCTGTGAGTTCCACTGAAATAGTCCTTTCCATTGAAATACTCAAATATATTCACAGTCATAAACACATACTCAATTTTAACAACATACAACCCACTGCAATCCAGAGCCTCCTAGCATCATAAAGACTCTACTTAACCTTTCTTCTCCTTCAAAACTGTCAAAAATTGCTCTGTGTGTACCCCAGAAAAAAGATACACTGATGTAGAGGCCCTGGAGGCACTTCAAGAGGTGCTGAATTGAGCTGAGAAAGGAGACTCATGCATTCTTACAAGATTTCTGATGAATTGCCAGGCGCGTGTCCTCTCTTGTCGCCCTTGCAGGCTTCCCCTAGCCCAGACCATTGCTTAAATCACCTGGATAATATTATTACTTAAGGCAAGGATTAATATATCTTTCTCCAAATTAATATGTGTCTACATATACACATTTAGGAATAGGCACATAGAGATTAGGTGTTAAGTTTACTGTCATGCCATAAACTTGGCCTCGTACTTAGTGAAAGAGGCTCAGGACATGAAAACCCTTGCCAAAATGAAGAGAGCTATTAAAATAGAATCACTTCTGGAAAAAGAGGAGTGATTTAACAGAAGACAAGAGCTGCCAGAATGATTTATTTATTGAGTTATTAAATTACACTTGAATTCACTTGAGGGATATACATGCAGGTGTAGCTGTGTACTGCAGATGCTTCAAGTGAAGAACTGTCATGCACACAAAAAGAGCCAAATTATGTATCCAAATCTATTTTTGTTTTCAGTGTCAGGCATTACACTCAGGTTCTCCACTTACTGGAAGATATCACCTGCATATCATGAGAAACTAAGCTTCAGCTTACAGAAAGGTTTCCAAGAAACCTTACTTCTTGGAATGTGCCTACATTTCACATCAGACCATTGCTGGACATAGCCAGGATGAAAAGTTAACACCCTTCTAAGTAACAGGCAGGAGTCAGGATTACTCTTTTCAGCTGTTCTGCTGTCAAGTGGTGCTTGGAGAAAGGCAGGCCTTGTCTCATGTTCCCTAAGAACATACTCTGACCAACAAAAGCTCATACACATCCCACTTTAGGCACAGTAGAGTCTCTCCTTCTTTCTGTACTGCTGGTGCCCACCCATGTTTATCTGCAGCACTAGCTACTATATAATCTCTACATATAAAACCCTTCATATCATGATGCCACACATTCTTAACTGTTGTTGTCTTATGAGTTGATCTTATGAGCAGGAATTAAATGTCAGAGATAACTAATGCCCAGGTCTTCAGAGGTACCTATGTAACTAACTACCACCAATTTTCACAGGAGTTGTGTCTACGAATGTGGTCGGTGGTGAGCTGAGCATAAATAAATTGGTGACATTCTGGTCTGAGAACAGCCACCTTTTTGCTGACACAGGTTCTTGCATCTGCAAGAAATTCTTTGTTGCTATCTGTGATGTATATCTGAGTATTGCCCCTGTTCTGAGGAGGGGGAATCTCTCTGAGCCATGTTAGATGCAGTTTGTCAATTGTATAATGTATCAAGAACCGTAGCAAAGGAAGAGACTTTCTGAAAAAAAGTCTGGCTGAACGTACTTCCTGAAAAATAAGATTCACATAAAAGAACTCTGAAACTACTGAAGATGTCTGTAATCATGGAAATGCTTCTTAGGAATAACCTCAGAAAATGAGAAAGTAGAGATTAAAAGAAGCACTGAGACATTGTTCTAGTAAAAACATGCATAAACAGAGTGCCATGAAGGGGATTTAAAACCAAATTTATACATGAAACTAGGCTTCCACTTTAAAAACACCAGGCTTACGGGGAGCACTGCACATAATGAAACAGATGAGGTCTGAGAGCCACCTCCTAGCCATCTCCCTTTTAGACGGCTAAGTAAAGAAAGATAACAGACTGCCACCAAAAGATCTAGCAGAAGAGCTAGTTAGATTCAAGCATATCCTTTCATACAGCGCACATCAGTGTCCTGGAAGTGCAGGCAGACACCATTTCACTCTACGGGTCAAACAGGTTTGTTAGTGCTGGCCTGCCAGTTGCACCAATTCTGACTACATGACTTCTTGTTTGGAGCTGGTTTGCACCTGGCTTGCTTGGAGCACAACTGGAGTGAGCTCAGGTCCACCTGAAAAGTACCATGTAGGCAGACCCTCAAGTCAGTCTGTAAGTCAAATAAGGGCCAGTGAGATCATGAAAGAAACAGGAAGCTTCAAGAGCATATATGGAAAAGCACTGCTTAGACTAAGCTGTAATATTAAAAGGTTCAAAGTACAAAAAAAAAAAAAAAAAAGCCGAAACCCCAAACTCAACAAGCAGAAGCTCAGTAGAATAGGTCTATGGAGAACTGTTTAATGGGCACCCTTCAGAAACAGTACAAAAGCACTGGTTAAGTGACTGGTAAGTGACTGCAGTACTAAAGGAGTTTAGTGAAAAACTGATAGATTTTCCTTTATGTGTACTTGGTTTCACCTCTCTGCTTTGCCAACTGCTCTATATAAAATTATTTATAGTGCATTTGGAAATGTCATTTTTGTCTGAAAAAATATGGTGTGGTTTATAGCTTGGAAGTAATTTTCTATTTGTCTGTAGTAATGCATGTGCTATCCTTAAATTTTTTACTTGTTTGTTTGTTTGTTTGTTTGTTTTTGTTAGTAGGACTGTATTTCTTATAAATTATCTGTGGCATCACATTGAGCTCTTTCTGAGGCAGCTATACTGGAAGAACAGGTATATATCAGAATATAAGCACCCATGTATTTAAGTGTGCTAGCTGTGGGCAATGTGATATATTTTATTTCTTGTTATTGCTGTTTATTTTTTTTCTCCCCTGGAAAATGCCTATGCCTGGTTTTGCCTAGGTAGTCTAGTTAGTCTAAATGTAAAAGTAACACACAAAATTTGGGAAAAGTAACTCACTGTTGGTAATTCTAACATGTAGAATTCTAAAGTGCCTGAAACTGCAGCATGTGGAAAGTCTCACAAAAAATGGTACTCTCTGTCTTTCTAACACTGCTCTCTGATGTTCAAAGCCCATTAAAAATCCAGAAAACCAGAATGGGTACTGTAAAAAAAAACCCCAAGCAGAATATAAGAGGTGCTATAAAGAAGACTAGTTTCCTATATGTACAGTATATCACTATGTCAGACTCAAAGGAATATGCCACATCTTTGCTACCACATCCTTCTCTGAAATAATTACATTTACCAGATGTCTGACATCTTTTGAGCCTTTTATCTATAGCTGTGGACTGAGCTGTGGTCTAAGCATTATTCACTCACACAGTGGTATAATTAGCAGAAAAGAATAAGATTAAGAGCAAACATCCTGATTAACTGAGAGTATGCTCTTGTTCAGAATTAAGAGCCTAGAACCCCTAAGGGAAACAATCCATTTTTAGTATTGCCAAATAAACCAGAAAACCAAAGCCTCTTTATCATTCTTGGTGCTATCAAAGGAAGGAGCTCTGTAATTAACATAGCTGGCTACATGATACTATGGGAGTGTTTTAAGCACCATGAGTTTCATAAACTGATAA